TTCTGTTTAGTGTACTTCGTACACTCCTGAAATATTTTTAGAGCACTATTACTCTCCTGTTAAGGTTCGGGTCTCTTCGGTGATTCCGTCCTTTCTGTTCAGCTAGCTTCTGTCAGGGATTGGTACGTGTAGCTCCGGCGATTACGTTTCCATATTCCTTCTGGGTAATGTGGATACGGACTTCGATCAACCGTATTCCTTACCGTTAGTATTCCTCGTTCTAGGTCCAGATTCTAGAGTTCAAGGCTAAATGAATATGTTTTTATAAATGATAAGTTTCAGATTAAGAATTATCTGATAATTATGATATCAGAATATGTTTCTGTTCTGTACAAAAATAATGACAATAATAATCTCAAAATAGAATTATCTGATAATTATGATATCTGAATATGCTTCTGTTCTGTACACAAGAAGAATATAATAATTATCTCAGAATACAATTATCTGATATTTATGATATTTGAGTATGATTCTATTCTGTATGTAAATATCTGTATTTTATAACAGCTGTTCGGTTCACCCAGGTATGTTATATGTTTGTCTGATCAAATGTGAATTATGATATGTTAATATGTTCTTTGATATGTTAATATTATTGTTATATTATTACCGTACCACTCAGCACATTGCTGAGCGGGTAGTTGTGTGTTTTCCTACCCGTAGGTTGAGCACGGAACCCGCTAGGAGCACAGGGATGGAAAGAGGCGTAGGACGCATTTGCATGCCATGTTATTTGGTGTTTTTTAATAAAGGACTTTATTATGTCATATGTGATTTTAAGAACTTCCGCTGCACTCCTTGAAGCGTTTTATGATGATTAAATTATGTCTGTTTTAATAACATTCTACTCCATGTGAGTTTGACATTTTCTGGTATTTAGTAATGAAGTCGTTTTGCAATTAATACACTTTATTTTAAGTAATAAAATCTCTTATTAAATGTTTTGAGTTTAAAGTAAAGTAAAAAAAAGGGCACTATTTCTTGAACCACGAAAAGTATTTTTGATTAAATCCGTTCTGATTTTCCGCCAAGTGACGCGCCACTCGGGTCGACAGGGTCGGGCCGGGTGGGGCGTTACATTGTTGGTCCCGTTTAAGTTGGTAACAATCTAGAGGGGGGTGAATAGACTGTTAAGGTTTTCAAAATTTTCTCTAAGTCTAAACTGACTTATGAGAGTTGGTCTGAGTCTGGTGACAGAGTAGGTCGAGTTCTGATAACAGAACTGGTCTTGGCAGCAGATATAGGTTCTGTCCGGGTAGCCTCAAGAAAACACTAAGGCAAATGCCTTTCTGATAACTCTTAACACAAGATCTGCTGAACACAGATTCCAAGGTTTTTAAGAGTTATACAGTTAGAATCCTAAGTGCGGAAATTAAACGCAGTAAAGTAAATGACACCGGGGATTTTTAGAGTGGTTAAAGGAACAACTCGTTCCTCTAGTCCACTGTTCCACTAAGCTTGTAAAACAACAGTTACAACGCCTTAGTCCCTAGCACTCAAGAAGTACTCCACGTCTTCTTCAAGCCTAGTTGTCACCCGGGATGCAGTGCTGCTTCCTGATGACTGGTCCTTTCACTCAGCTTCCCGGAAGTATCACCACTTCACTACTGCAGTTACTTGGAGGCCCTTCTTTGCAGAAGATGTTTCGAAAAACAGAGTTTTTCTCCAACTTGCTTCGTTACAAATGATTTGTTGATGAAGATCTTAAAGTGTTGAAGAACTGTTGGAACTTTGCTCTTGTTGGAAGAAAGGATATGAAAATGATATCTTTCTAACGTGGGCTTTTTCTTGATTGATGATTATTAAGTTTGAATCTCAAGAAGGTTTTAGCAAGGATGATAGCAAAGTTGTTCGGTTGTTCTTCATCGAGTATCTTTTATACTAGGGTTGTCTACCCATTGGAGGAGGAGACAACTGCAATAATTGCGCGTAATGTGGAGTTGACCGGTTGGACCCGCATACTTGGCAGGTTTCTATTTTTGTATAATATTCTCCAGGAATCTCGGTCAATCAGCTGCAATTACTCCACAGCGTATCAGGCTCATTAAATGAGCATTAAATGCTTTCCATTGATGAAATATCTTCTAGCCGTTAGGGAATTTCCCGTTAGTTATACGGCCGTTGAAGGTAGCATCGAATTCTTCTAAGTGTAAGTTGGAGTCTGATGAGGCTCTCTGATTAGCAGATCTCAAGTCGGTCTCTGATGGTTCTCTGATAGCTATGTGAGGGTAACTCCGATAGCAACTCTGATAGTCAGTCAAAGAAGTAACTCTGATAGCGCTTCTCATGGAGCAGTTCTCCTGGCAACTCTGATCAGAAGTACCAAGAGGATCTCTGGCCCGTTGACTATGCTAATACTTACAAAGAAAATTTCTAATACAAAATTTCTAAGGGGGTACTTTAAAATTCTAATCTATCCTAGCATCATCAAAATCTAAGTACAATTATTCCTTACATAAGTATACCCTGCAGAATTATTGTAGAAGGCTAATACCCAAGAAGTATGGGAATTGTATGTGCATGTCCCAAGAGTCCAATCATATTCAAGTAATTTATCAATGGGTATAAATTACGAACAGTTACCATGGTCATATAATATTTTAATTATATGTCGAGTAATATGAATGTGATTAAATTGTACAACTTGTTAATTCGATCAAACACGATGTTGTAATATCCTCTATAGACGACGTATCACTCAATAATTGTGTTATATTGAGTATACAAGTGTATTAAAGCCCTATAGTTAACAGATGACTGTCTAGCTCACAATGTAAGTAAGTTGGTACAAAGTGAATTAACTCTATGGAAGAATTTGTATTTCTATCGGGCTAGACATACAAATGTTCAAACTGGCTAAATCTTGAAATGTTATAGTATACACTGTATTGGGAATACGATGTCCAAACCGACATTGTTGATATAAAACGGTTATGGGATAAATGTACATATGTTATTTAAGGCACATTAAATTGTTTGTCAATTTAAAAACATGATATACTCATATACATACATATTGAGTATGTATATCATGTTTTAAATGTATATACACTTCTATTTTACATATTCCCGTGACTAAATACCCCATAGCTTGTACTTATATATAAGAAAAGGATAGGCTGTGCTAAGTACATTTTTGCCCTCTAAATTCCTACGTGTGCTGCGCGCCGTATTTCACCCGGCTTCCCTAAGCAATCCACGTGGCTTCGTTTTTTTGAGATGAAAAAGCCCACCGCTTTTAATAAAAGAAAACTCCACTCCGCACAATTTTCTCGGCCAACACAAGAAATCAGCTCACGCCTCCCCTCTTTCTTTTCCGATAATACCTTGGCAGATTGGGCTGGAGAGCTCTTGCTATGTATAAAGAAATTAACTCTGCGCACAAATTTCTCGGCCAAAAAACAAAAAACCAGCGGATACCTCTTTTCTTCTCCGATAATTCCTCGGCCGATTGGACTAGAGAGCTTGCCATGTATAACACGCCTCTCCCTCTTCCCATCCACGAAATTACCGCAATATTGAGAGACGTCAAAGCACAAATCACTGCAAGACAAGGTATTATTATTGCTATATAAACCTTTACAATACTAGGGTTTTATGCTTTATTGCCCTCTCTAATAAAGCAGGTACGCTGTCTATTCTCATTCAATCATTTTTCTCTGCATCTAATTAGTATTTGCTGCTGATTTTTTAGTTGTTTTTGCACATATTGTAAGTGCGCAAAGCATATAAGCTATAGCATATAAGGTGTTTGATGAAATGTTTTGATTGCAAAAACATATTAGAGATGGCTGTTATAGGACCTTTAACTAAGTTGAAGAAGTTATTATGTCCAAAAACTGAGGGTCTGCTGCATAAATAGAAGATTTGATACAAAGATACATGAAGAGCCTGTATGTTACTTCCGTGTGAAACCAATACTCTGTAAACATGATTTTACATTCCTTAGAATGTTTCTATTTACTCTGTTTCACATAGTCTCTTTTGTTTTATTCTGTCAAATAGATGCTCACTCCACAGTCCACAGTGCAATCTTTTTTCCCATGGTGCTTTTTTTATTTATTTCTTTTGTCTTATTAATTAATCAATATGATTATGTTTAATTAGCCTCCTTTGTAACTTTTTGAATCAAAAGTTATTAAAATCCGTGAACCAAAAGAAAATGATTTTAAAACTTTTTGGTTCCTTTTGATTTTCTTTTGTCTCAATTATGATTTTACTTATTAATTTTATTTCTGTAGAGATTTTCACATAGTCCGGTTGTGTTCATCCATCTCAATAAGCCTCCTTTGTTCATCTATTTTGAGCTATACAGGCAATAGTGAATAATCTATTCCCACAATATATTATAAAATAGTGATTCACTTTTTATTCTGTCAATTCTTTTAAAATCAAAAGCAAATGATTAACTTTTTGAATCTGTGAACCAAAAGAAAATGATTCACTTTGTGAATATTTGAGCCAAATTTCTATTATGTGAACCCTGAACCATGCCTCTAAAGGATAGTACTATATGAAACCAAAGATTTTTTTGCTGAACAGATGTTGCTAGAGACTTTTTTATGCTTTGTTTTTTTGATGAACAATGTTTTTTTATTTTTCTTGAACTGATGTTGCTAGAGACTTTTTTATGCTTTGTTTTTTTGATGAACAATGTTTTTTTCTTTTTGCTGACCAGATGTTGATAGAGACTTTTTCATTATGCTTTGTTTTTTGCTGAACAAATTGTGTTGTCTTATTCTTGGTTTCTGTATTTGTTGATTCTCTGTTTGGTATTTGTTGTTTAGTTGCTGCCTATTTTGTTTACTTTCTTACCCTTTTAATCCTTTTACATTTGTATTATTGTAAAGCTATATTTGCTATTTTCAATTCCCTGAATGTTAAAATTAAAATTACTTATTCTAAATTTCATTAATTCGGTGCATAGTGGAATAAGTTATTATATATAGAAATAACTAGGATGAACTATACATAGTTGAATAAGTTATTAGGAGACTTAAGCTATTACAAATTATGTTAAGCAGATTATTTTACCCTACAGAGCAAGCTTGAGCATACATAACTTTCTATTTAGCCTTTCATGTGTTTGTATTTTGCCGAATATAAGTTATAAGGCTATTATCATTTCTAAATCTAATATCTTGCATTTCCAACATAATCATCAAACTAACTTGATTTTTAAAAGTTCTTTTAAAAACAGCAAGACAACCTCATATAGCATTTCGTACTTGGGTTATATCATCTCTTATTCCATTTGCTTTTTTAACTTGATTCCTTATCATGGTATTTGTTTACTGGGGTGGCTTTGAGTTTTGATATACAGTGAATTTCTCTCAAGCAAACGCATATCAAATTACTTATCTCTTCTTCCTTTTACGTATTCTTCCTTTTTCATCAGATCATGTTGTATTAAATGTGTTTTCTTTTTATTAGCTTTTCGTTACATTTTAGACCCTGCAGTATGGCACGCAAGATAAACACAATAGAAGAGATCAACGACTCAAAGGAGACATGGAAGATTGCGGTTAGAGTGATTTCACTCTGTCGTGTTGATTCCTTAAAGTTCATGGAAATGGTTTTGATGGATGCCAAGGTATGACAATTACTAAAAACAGTAGTTCTGTAATTCATAATTCACACCATTATGATTGAAAATTAATTTGAAATTATTTGCATCCATTAGGGCCATAAGATACAAGCAGTTGCGAGGAATGCCGAGATGGTTGTTTGGAAGCCAACACTTAAAGAAGGAGAAACGTATGTGATGCAGAATTTTTGTGTCCTACGCAACGATGGGGAATACAAGACTTGTGACCATCCATTCAAGCTTCAACTCACAGGTGGTACAACGCTAAAAGTACAAAATCTCTCCGATATTTCCACGGATCACTATCAGTTTAGAAGCTTTGGTGATATATTAAGTGGCAAACTGGACACTCATGTTTTGGTTGGTGAGAATCAAATAATAACCGCACATAAATTTTGTAGTTTTACGATAAAAATTTAATTGATATGTTACTTATTAGTTTTTGAATGGATGAAAATAGATGTCATTGGATCTCTGCATGACGTTCTTAATGCCCAGGCTAATGCTTCGCTGAAAAAAATATCATTTTTAATGAAAGATCTCAGGTAATGTCATTAGCTTCAAATACTCCTATTATCTTAATTAGTATTATTAAAATTTAAACTTTTTGAAATATTCATTACTGAAAATAGTACACCATGTTTTCGTTGTAGTGGTGATATGATAACATGCACATTGTGGGGCGACTATGCTACCAAACTGTTGAATTTCCGTGAAAATCATCCATCGGAGCTGACTGTTATCATCTTGACTCATGCAAAAATCAAGGAACCGGAAGGTTAGAATTTTTTTGTTAAGTGTTCTTCATGTCTATGTACAAATACATATTATAGATGCTAATAGAATATACCTCACTCATTTGATAGGCATGCATCCTATCACCATTCAAAATAGCATGTACAGCTCCAAACTGCTCATAAATGAAGACATTGCAGAAATTCAGCAATTCAAAGATAGGTATATCATCAGTATTAATGTTCTGCTAATTACAATTTCTGTTTTCGAAATAATATTTATTATTATTTAAATATAACTCCATGTTTAAATTATCAAAGCTTCAAATCAAATCAAGTGAACAAGCCACAAGGTCAAACTCAAAGCCAAACCTCAGGCTCCAGTTTTTCTGAGCAAGAGAAGCTTACATATAGAGCTGTTCTTATGAGTATTGATGATATTAATTGCCTTAAAGAGGTATCTTAAAATTTTTAAAATTTTAAAAATTAATAAAACACTGAAGTATATCAATGACCTTTTAAATATTCTATAGGAAACAACTTGTGTCACTGTTGGCACCATTGCAAGGTTTGTGGTTGGAAAAAGTGGGTGGAGCTATCAAAGTTGTTCTTCATGCACTAGAAAGGCTAAAGCACCCAATGGCGCGTTCACATGCAGATGTGGCAAATACAACCACGAGCCTGTTATAAGGTGCTCTTACTATCGGATTTATATTAGTGTGAATTATGGTGAATAAAGTTAAAGTATAGATGTATGTTAATTTATTCTTAGCCTTTTTATAAGTCTAAATTGATACCAGAGCTTGACATTTTCCTAAAATAAAATTCATACCTATCAAAGATACAATTTTTTATTGTAGCGAAACACAATGTCCTAATACAATATTTTGAAGGAAAAATAAAACTCAATATTTTGATGTGTAACTAAGTGCTTCAAGGTGAGCAACATCTTTGTTCATCAGTGGCGGCCCACACCTCAGAATCTGAAAATCAGATGCGGGTGCAGGACAGTGAGACTAGATTATTTCCTTTCATACGAAACCATCACCATCACTCCATACTTCAGTATGCAACAACAATAAATAGCTTAGCAATTAATGTTAAATCCTTTTAAACAGGTATAGGCTGGAAGTCATGTTGTACAATAAAAAAGATTGCGTCAAGATTGTACTGTGGGATCAAGAATGCATTCAGCTTCTTGGGAAGACCGCTAATGAGCTCAGAAACCAAATGATTGAAGTATATATGTCTTTTTGACACCATTGTATATTCAAACAACATTTTTATGATAATTAAATGCATTTCTAAGGTTTTACCATTTTGCTTGCTTAGGAAGGTGAGGACGATCCACTGTCTTATCCAGAAACACTTGATGACTTGCTTGGAAGAACTTTGGCATTTAGGATCAAAATGCAGCCAGCCTATAGTGCTGCATCCGTACAAAAAGTTTCCGAGGATGAGGCCGTTGTGCAATCTATATTGGGGAAAATTGACATGGATGAGGTAGGGGGAACCTATTAAATAATTTCGTAAAGTATTCATTGATTATAACGTTTCTCTCCAATAATTAATGCAAAGATGTATTATTATAAAACATGGTTGAGTGTTACCGGACTAGACAAGAAATCTAACTTGCAGTTTTATAAGGATTGAATTTTAATGCATAGTTGTTGACATATATGTGCAGCAATCTTTGTCTGCAACAGCAGATCATGATCCTGAAAGCTCATCGGCTTCTGTTACACCTTGCAAAAGATCATCACATATGCAAAGTGATGATTCTCAATCCCCAGATGAAGCCACACAACTATCAGCAACTAAGATTCAGAAGCGTATTAAAAAGGAGTGAAATAGTTACATTTCTTTGTCATTCCTTGCAGACAATATTCATCTCTTCATGCCTTATTATTTATTACATTATTAAGAAACAAAAGTGACCTTTTTATCTGCTTCGTTTTAGACAATATACAATTTCATTGTCCTTATTATTGCTTACATTCATTCAAGTATTCAATATGTTTGATTATTTTAGTTAGCTTTCTTCAATCTTTATTTTTTATTTTATTTTTTTTACTTATTTCAGTTATTCTATTGACGTAATAGTTTCATACATTTGCTAATGAATGATAGATAATTACATTAAAATATTACGAAGTACTAATTAATAAATGACTGTAGTATTAACTATTCATCTTGAAAAAATGTGACTTTTATACAATCACTACTATTAATTTTAAGCATGTAGGTCCCTCATGAAAAAAATCAAAACTTATACACTGTCACACTGTAGAATAATACTACAAACTAAACATCAATTCCTAATTTTAACAACACATGCAATTTATACATATATGGTAAAAAAACATCACATTTTTTTACAATTATCTGTTAAACTTACTCTATCAAAGTCATACATGAGATTAGTGGTGCTAAGAAGTATTAAGTTAAGATTATTCTCTTCCAAAAAAAAGTTAAGATTATTCTCATCACTTTAGAATAGAAATACATAACATTTACAATGTTTCAGGAATTCACGACACTTGACGAAGATGGTTATCCTATTTATGGGAGAAGACAAAATGGAATAGAAGTAGAAAAATCTGATATTATCTTAGACAATCGTCATGTTGTGCCTTATAATCCAAAATTGCTGTTAAAGTACCAAGCCCATATCAACATGGAATGGTGTAATCAAAACACTTCGATCAAATACTTATTCAAATATATCAACAAAGGATATGATCGGATTACAGCAGTTATTGTTCCAACACGCGATGATGAGTCTCCACAAAATGAGACTATTGATGAGATCAAGCAATATCTTGATTGCAGGTATGTCTCACCATGTGAGGCCTGTTGGAGGATTTTTTCTTTTCCGATTCATGGTAGGTCTCCAACTGTTGAAAGACTTTTCTTTCACCTTCCCAATGAGCAGTCTGTGTTCTTTAGTGACAATGACAACCTGGATTCGGTTCTAACAAAAACAACTGTTAAAGAATCAATGTTTACATCTTGGATGCAAGCAAACAAAATCTATCCTGAAGGAAAAGATTTGACCTATGCAAAATTTGTTTCACGGTTTGTGTATGTAGCTAGCAAGAGGTGCTGGAAACCGCGAACAAAGGGTTACACTATTGGTAGACTCATTTGGGTACCTCCAACCACAGGTGAATTATTCTATTTAAGAATGATGCTCACTGGAATAAAGGGGCCATGTTGTTATGAGGATATCAGGACGGTTGCCAACATTCAATATCCAACCTTTAGAGAAGCGTGTTTTGCAGCGGGATTGCTTGGGGATGATAAAGAATATATTGGATCATTAAAAGAAGTTAAGGACTGGGCATCAGGTCACTACTTGAGAAAATTGTTTGTAACTCTGCTCTTATCATGTCCCGTGAGCAGACCTGAGCATGTATGGGAACAAACTTGGCAGTGGTTGGCAGATGGAATTTTGTATCAACAACGAAGGCTCTCGAATATCCAAGGTAGACAACCGATCAATTAAAAATTAAATTTTCACTAATCATTTGTAAAATGACAAGTTATTCATGAAGCCTACCCAACCAAAAAAAATTATAAGATTTGTGAGTAAGAGTATTACCCTAAATTCCATTCACCATATATTTAAATTCGAATAGAGAACATAAAGTATATATGATTAGTTTAGCAGATATGTCTTACTCTTTCTAAATTTCCACTAATTATACAAGTAAAAAATTTAGTAAAAGCTGAAATTAATTATTTACTATTACCATAAATTAACATTATTTCCAGATTACCCTAATCAACTTTTCTTATCTTAGGTATTAAAATCATTTCACGTATCAAGTAACATATAATTTATTTCACCTATCAAGTAACATATAATTTGTCATTCATTTGGATAAAAGAATATATTCAAATAAAAATATTTCATAATTTTAATTGTCTGCATATCTCATTGTCATTCATTTGCATCACTTTGACAAATTAAATTATTTACAATAAAAACATAAGTAGAGTAGACACATACACATGAACATCTTCTTCTAATTATAAATTTTATTGTGTTTATTACATTTGTAGATTTACAGCTTAGTGATCAAGAGTTGCAAAATTTAACTCTTCTGGAGATCGAGAAGTTGATGCAAAAAAAGAGAAAAAGTCTAAAAGACTATCCCTCAATACCATATCCAAATGGATATATCACAGAACAACTAGGAAATAGGCTTATTTATGCAGAACGTGATTATGATACATCCAAATTGCGTGAGGAGTTCCAAACTTTGTATGCTTCTCTTACCGGTAAGATAAATACAATTCATATGATTTATAAGTCAAATTAAGTGAATTTGACTGTAAAAAAGAAAAATGGTATTATGCATATATTTTTATGCTAATATTGCAGATGAACAAAAAGGCATATTTGACACAATAATGGAAGCTGTGACTAACCAAAAAGGAGGGGTATACTTTTTATATGGTTATGGTGGTACAGGGAAAACCTTTATGTGGAGGACATTAGCTTCTGCCTTACGTTCTCAGCGTCATATTGTTTTAACTGTCGCATCCAGTGGTATTGCTTCTCTACTCTTACCTGGCGGTAGAACTGCACACTCTAAATTTTCAATCCCAGTTCTTACTCTAGAGAACTCTACATGCAATATACATCAAGGGAGTGAACTTGCAGAGCTTTTAAAACAGACTAAGTTGATAATTTGGGATGAAGCAACAATGGCTAATAGATTTTGTTTTGAAGCACTAGACAGAAGCCTAAATGACATCATCAACAATGATGATGATTCTATTTCACCATTCGGAGGAAGAGTGGTTGTCTTTGGAGGAGATTTCAGACAAACTTTACCAGTTATTCCTGGAGGAAGCCGTTCAGACATTGTTAATGCTACAATCAATTCTTCATATCTATAGGATGACTGTCAGGTAATAACTCCATTTTAGTACCACAACCAATATGTTTACTATTACTATAATTTACAAATTCATTTTACCACAATATACCAAAATAACTAACCTAAAAAACTTTAAAAAAAATTGTTCATTCGTTCACTTTTACTTTAAATAAAGTACAAGTAATTATATTAATTGTTTAACTATTTCAAATAATCAGTTTGTAAGTTTTTTTAGTAATCACTTTATAAGTTATACTCAAATATAAGTATTTTTTTTATTGATAGGTATTGTCTCTTACTAAAAATATGCGACTCCAAAATAATTTGGATATGACAAGTGCTACTGAGCTCAAAGAATTTTCAAAATGGATATTGGATGTGGGAGATGGAAAAATATCAGATCCAAATGATGGTTATGCAGAAATAAAGATTCCAGATGAGTTTTTGATTAAAGAATTTGATGATCCAATAGATGCAATAGTCCGTAGCACGTATCCGAACTTGCTGGAGCAATACAAAAATGAGGAATTTCTCAAGTCTAGAGCTGTCTTGGCATCAACTATTGAAATTGTCGATAAAATTAACGACTATGTTCTTTCAACGCTCCCAGGTAATATTATAAAAATGCTACTTTCCTTATTTACTTACAAAATAAATTCTTAAAAAAAATTAATAATTAAATTAAGACTATAGACTTTTACAACTACAGGTGAAGAAAGAGAATATTTAAGTTGCGATTCTGTAGACAAGTCGGATGTAGTTGAAGCAGAAGCATTTGAAGCGTTGACATCAGAGTTTCTCAATTCCTTGAGAACATCAGGTCTCCCAAATCACAACATACGACTTAAGGTTGGGACTCCAGTAATGTTGCTAAGAAATATAGACCAATCAGAAGGACTATGCAATGGAACTAGATTGATTGTCACAAGACTGGGTAATCATGTCATTGGAGCAAGAATCATGTCTGAAGGCAATGGTGGAGATGAGATTTACGTACCTCGAATGTGTATGTCTCCTTCTCAATCACCATGGCCTTTTAAACTTATCAGAAGACAATTTCCTATAATGGTCTCATATGCGATGACAATCAATAAATCTCAAGGACAGTCACTGGAAAGAGTTGGATTATACTTGCCTAGACCTGTTTTTAGTCATGGACAATTGTATGTGGCATTGTCAAGAGTTCAGAGCAAACATGGATTGAAGATTTTAATACATGATAAGGATGGTAAATCATTAGACACTACTACGAATGTTGTATTCAAAGAGGTTTTCCAAAATCTCTAACACCTATGTTTAATATTTTATTTACTAATTATTTTATTAACTTACACTTTATGATATTGAGATGTTGTACTTACTTTTAAGAAGAAATGCAATTTTTTGAAATTATTTTCTTTTCTAATTGATTAGATCATGATTGCAAATATATTCATCGATTATTTCCCGTGCGTATGCACGGGTACTGTACTAGTTACACACTGAAGAATTTACATCGTTAGATGGTGTACGATATAGTTTCCATACACGGTTGAGTTATGTATCGATAAGGGGGTTTGACTTTTATTATTGGTTGACCAAAAAATGTTGACTTTGCAAAACAATTTGGGACGGATGAAGTATATGAGTGGTGTATTCTAGTACACCCTTGCAGAACCAACATTGATTGATTAGCAATGGGTAACATATAAAATGAGTTTTATACAACTATTATTGTCGGGGACTATTGGTGATAGTCACGTCTGATGAAAAAATGGATAGGTCTGTATGATGTGCTTATAATTCTAAGTTTGTATTGATATAGTGTGTGCAGGTGTATGTAATACAGTGGGTGTGTGTAGCTTACTATAAATAGTAAGCTTTGTATGAGATGCGTTGTGTGGTTATTACATCATAATAAAAATTCCTTCTCTTAAAATCAGTTGAGTTAGTTAAAAACCTCCATCACTGTATACTATATTTGTCTTATACATTCCTGTGTATAAAATGGTATTAAAATGACATCGGTTATATGGGAACTATCCGTATACCCGTGAGTAAATACCCCAATAGAAGGAATAATACCTAGTTTAATTTTGTGGATACTTAATATCCATACCTTATTAATAAGTCACATTCACAGGTATAATACTATACCAATACGAAATATCTCGAAGATATTCTCGGGGTATATACTCGTACACACCATTGG